ATGGTATTGAGCACTGTTTGTGTTTCGTAAACCAAAATCTTAAGCTATATTTGCACCCGGTAATCGGTTGTGCACTCTTGTCTACGTTATTCATTTTATTTCTACTTCAAACATGCGACAATTTCGATTCGATTATTCACTAAAGCGACAATTTCGATTCGATTATTCACTAAAGAATATTCCTATACCATCACAGGATGCTTACCTAAAGAATTTGATTGAAAAAGTGGAAAGCGTAACAAAACGTATGAGCTGGAAAGCTAATTTCTTCCTAAAAGGATCAACGACTCAAAACCAAAGCAACCTTTTCGGCCTTTCGTCTAACAAATCGCCTCCTTCAATCCCACTTTTGAAACCTTTCGAAGACGACTTGATAAAACTAATTGAAAACGTAAAATTCCGGCGTCCTAAACACCAATTTCAGACATCTTTGGCTAACGATTTGAAGAAAATTAATTCATCCATGGACATTCAATTAATTCAATTATGGACAAAAAAAGACGGAAGCAACAGTTTATTTGACATCACTATGGGTAGTTTCGACGGCGCTGAAATTTGTGAGCTGGTAGGCCTTTTGATTTTAAATCACTTAGGTAAGAGGTTTGGCAAGGAAAACATCGGACTTTATAGAGATGATGGTTTGGCTATTATAAAAAGCAAATCCGCCCGTTTACTAGACAAAACTAGAAAAGAGCTACACAAAATTTTCGAGCAATTTGACCTTAAAATCACCGCCGAAGTAAATATGAACGTTGTAAATTTTTTAGATGTTACTTTCGACCTGATCAACGCAAAACACAAACCATACAGGAAACCCAATGACGATCCATTGTACATCCACAGACACTCAAACCATCCACCAAGCATTACAAGACAATTACCTACAGCTATCAACAAACGCATTGCACTTCTCTCATCAGACGAACAAACATTTAAGGAATCTACACCTATTTACCAGAACGCTCTTAGACATAGTAACTTTGATCATGAATTTACATACACTCAGGATGCACCGCAACGGACACGTAGGAATAGGCAACGCAACATAATTTGGTTCAACCCACCATTTAGTAAGAGTGTTAACACGAACATAGGACGGGAATTCTTAAGTTTAATTGACAGACACTTCCCACTACAGCACAAACTACACAAGATTTTTAACAGAAACACGTTAAAAGTAAGCTACAGTTGCATGAACAACGTTAAGTCTATAATCACCAAACACAACGCACATATAATTAGGAACAGTCAATCACAGAATACGGAAACTGACAACTGTAACTGCGACAACAAAAACACTTGCCCACTACCGAAACAATGTATGACCAACAACATTATTTACAAAGCCACAGTCACAACGAACAACACGAACGACACTAAACACTACATTGGTATGACAGCGACTACATTTAAGGAACGTTACGCTAACCACACTTCATCTTTTCGTCATAAAAAAGACTCAAACAAAACGGAACTTTCGAAACATATTTGGAAATTAAAAGAAAACAATCAGGATTATACCATCAAATGGTCAATTTTAAAACACGCTATTTCGTACACAGGGGGATCAAAATGCTGCAATTTATGTTTGGAAGAAAAATTTTGCATTTTGAAAGACATAAACAAAGACAATTTATTCAATAAAAGAAGCGAAATTTTCGGCAAATGTCGTCACAAAAACCGGTTTTGAGTAAACAAGGTCGTTAACAAAACCTAATGACCCAAGCATGCATTGTTTCACCTAAACATTGTTTCGCCTACATGCATTCCGCACATTCTTTCGATAGCATAAAAGCAACCTACAATTTCGAAATTATTCACCACCTGATGATTCCTATATGGATGAAACAGACTGTTGTGGTTATTTGAGGTAAAACGAAAAACTATATTACACTCTATCTATATGGTATTGAGCACTGTTTGTGTTTCGTAAACCAAAACCTTAAGCTATATATATATATATATATATATATATATATATATATCGCTGTATGTGCTCCAAAACTATGGAACAAACTTCCGCACAGTTTATATCAACTTTAAAAAGGATCTCAGGCCTTATCTTTTTAAACTTTTTATTAGTAATAGTTCTCTGTATCTTTCTTTTGATTGAAATAGGTGGGGTCTGTAAGTTTCTAATTATTTAAGTATATGTACATAATTTTAAATAATTGTATCTACTTCTTCCTATTTGTAACGCGACTTGAACTTTTGTATATATATATATATATATAACTACAGACGGTACCGTTTCGGCCTAATGGGCCTCATCAGTGTAGTGCTGATGAGCAGGATGAAAGTAACTCTTATTTATAGTTACCTTTGATGCCTCACGATTGTGGGACATATATATATATATACACTTGTTCCAGAAAAGTTTGACTGCATAACATATATATATGTTCTCATTTGCATTCTCTCAATTAAATCATGCACAAAAACCCATACAATAGAAGGAGTTCAATTTGAATTTCAACTAATAGGTGCATGCACGAATAAATTTTCCCTCTTCAAGGAACCGAAATGAACTGACTAACCACATTGACATTATTACCATTCAACTTTAAATATCAGGAATTTTTCCGATACATCTATATCTTATGTTTTATTTGTTCTTCCAGATTAACAAAAAAGTAAAATACTTGAATTTGTCTAACGTTTCGGTTTCCTAAATGGAAACCATTATCAAAGACTATGAATCTATTAAAAGTTTTCTGTTGCTATCTTGCTTCAGATGCAACCTTGCGAGATTACTGACGCGTGCGTTCAAATCGGTTTGCGCGTGCACGTTCACTAGCTATTAGACTATAGTACCTTTTTCCAGTACGACAGGAATTTCTACCAGCAGCTTCACGGCACGGCCATGGGTTCCCCGGTCTCAGTTGTCGTAGCAGAGATCGTAATGCAGTGTTTAGAAGAGAAGGCATTAGCAACCTATCCCAACCCACCACCATTCTGGTATCGATATGTTGATGACACGATAACAAGTTTGAAGAAAGACAAAAAAGTTGATTTTCTTAACCACCTTAATCAGCAGAATCCGAGCATCCAATTTACAATTGAGCCAGAAAAGAACGGGCAATTAGCGTTCTTGGACTGTTTGGTCACCAGATCAGGCAACACCATTAGAACAAGCGTATACAGGAAACCTACTAGTACGGACCGTTTGTTAGATGATTCGTCATACCACCCAGCCTCGCACAAATCAGCGACCATTAAAACCTTAGTTAAAAGAGCCCACGTAATTTCCAGTTCAAATGAAGATCTCGAAGCAGAATTGAAACACTTGAATGAAGTATTTGACCTGAACAACTACTTGAAACCTTTTGTAAGCAGCGTTACCGAGCAAGCCAATAGAATAACAACAGAGGCATCCAACACGAATGAGGACGATAAAGTCATTGCTACCATTCCATACGTCAAAGGCACATCAGAAAGAATTGCACGGATTTTGAGACCCCACAACATTACAGTCGCCCACAAACCTTCAACGACGCTGCGGGATGTCCTTACGAAGATAAAAGATCCATCACCTGTTATATCACGAACAGGAGCAGTTTACAAAATACCGTGCGCAGAATGCCCTCCAAGCTATGTCAGAGAAACTGGGAGAACTCTGGAATGCAGAATTAAAAAACACAAGCGCAGCGTAGCAAATAAAGATACAAGCAACAAAATAGCGGTTCATCATTTGTCAACAAAACATCGAATGAATTGGGAAGGAGCTACTTGCTTAGAATTTGCTACTAACTTTAACGAAAGAATGTTTCTCGAGAGCTGGCATACCAAGAGCAAAAACAACAGCATTAACTTTTGCCGCGATATGCCAGGCGCGTACTATAGTCTAATAGCTAGTGAACGTGTAAGCGCAGACTGATTTGAACGCACACGTCAGTAATCTCGCAAGGTTGCATCTGACGCAAGATAGCAACGGAAAACTTTTAATAGATTCATAGTCTTTGATAATGGTTTCCGTTTAGGAAACCGAAACGTTAGACAAATTAAAGTATTTTACCTTTTTGTTAATCTGGAAGAACAAATAAAACATAATGTTTCAACCTGGATTCAAACCCTTCAACATCTATATCTACTACTTGAAATTCAAATTGAACTCCTGTTGTATGGGTTTTTGTGCATGACGTAATTGAGTGAATGCAAATGAGAGTATATATATATATATATCCACCAGTCTGTGCATTGGTTTCCCAGGATACTTCACACTTCTATGCGTTGATCGCTTGTGCTTTTTCCGTAAATGAAGCTTTTAAATCCAGCCATGCTATCATTGCAGTAAACACGAAGTTCTAGGAAGATGTTCTGTGACTGCTTGACTGTGACAATGACCAAAGACGTAATTGGCTTACATAAACAAAAGGAATATTGTTCTTGCTTTGTTCTTTAGAAAATCCATTCTATAGCTTATTCTTTATGATTGTCATAATCAACCAATCACACAACATCTTCCTAGAGCTTCCTGCCAATCCCTGCTTTGGCATTGGGCAATCCACTTGTATTGTTTTGTACTTGATACTAGTTATAATATAGATATATATATACACTCATTCCAGAAACGTTTGACTGCATAACATATGTATGTATGAATGCAATGCAATGCAATGCAATGCAATTATGTATGTAATGTATGTATGCAATGCAATGCAATGCAATGGATTTTCTAAAGAACAAAGCAAGAACAATATTCCGTTTGTTTATGTAAGCCAATTGCGTCTTTGGTCTTTGTCACAGTCAAGCAGTCACAGAACATCTTCCTAGAACTTCGTGTTTACTGCAATGATAGCATGGCTGGATTTAAAAGCTTCATTTACGGAAAAAGCACAAGCGATTAACACATAGAAGTGTGGTGGAGTATCCTGAGAAACCAATGCACAGACTGGTGGATATGCCTTTTCAAAGATTTAAGGGACAGGGGTTTGTACAATAGTCTTGATGCCGTTCACAACCAATGCATTAAATTTTGCTTTATGAATGTATTGCAAGAGGAATTGTGCTGTGTAGCAACTGAATGGAATGTACACCCTATAAGAAGTAATAAGAACATTGAGAATCCTCATGGAAAACCAGATGTTATGCATTTCACCCCAGAGTTGTATAACACCCATAATTATGAAACTCAAGTCGCCTTTGAAGACGTTGCCATTTGCGAGGAGTTGTACACAAAAGAAAAACCCAGTGATTATGACCAAGGGTTTCTGGGGCTAGTTCAGTTGGTAAGGCCAAATATAACTATCCCTACTACTACCGACGATGCTCTTGAACCTTTATATCAGTGTTATTCAAGATATAGATGAATGCACAAACATGGAGTAAGTCTAGCAAAAAACGTTTCTAATTTACTGGGACTGTTTTCTGAAAAGTCATCAACAGATTATACAGAAACAATCTACCATTCTACCTTGTTTATAATTTCTAATGTAAATAGTAATACAGAGCAGATAGTCACTGGGTTTCATAGCGAACACGTGAACAGGAAGTTGCAGTGCAAATTTCGTAGTCCCAATCCACAGCCAGTCTGCTGCTGTGGCTACTGAATGTGTATTTATAAAATTTCAATAACATATAAGTCTGATGAAAAGAAAACGTCTGCTAAATTTAAGTCTTGAAACTGGTTTTCAAATGTCTTATCATTCTCATTATTTACATGCAAATGGAATTTATTTCTTCAGGTTGAAGGTATGCCAATTTTCAATTGTTTTGTTACCAATCCCACCAGTGGTAGAGGAAGGCATGTAAAGTGGAAAACTGGAACAAGACATTCAACCATGAAGCATGTTCTTTCCATGCATCAACAAAATTTCAAATAAAACTTTTATATTTACAAAATGTTTTAAAATGCCCTGAAAAATTAAATGTAGTGAGTGTTATAAACTGCAATCATATCTAGTGCAGAAGGCCGAAGTGAAGGGTGATGACTTCCTTCATGGGTATCTGCACACTTTCCAGGTGGGAGGGCTGATCATGATTTTGCAGCTTCCTTTTGAGCATGTTGCATGGCATCTCATCATTCAAAGTATTGGTTTCATATTGAAGTACCAGCCCACATACCTTTAAACACTGTCCCAAATGTCCCTCTTCCGATTTCACTGTTGATATTTAAATCAAAATCAGACTTTTTAACAATAGGTAGCGTGGGCTTGTAATTTTCTGTATCCTTATCTGCAAAGCAGAGAGACAATAACATTAAAACACTTCATAAGAGTTTTATTTGCATGTTAACACCCAACGCAACATTCACCTGATGTGTGGCAAACTTCATATGAAACAAATTTGTTTTGTATGTTAAATATATTCTAGCACTAGCATAGGAAAAAAAATCATGATTATTAGATTACATTGATATATCGATATGATATATACTTACATATGAAATATTTTTATTAGGAGCTAGTCCAGGAAAGATATAGAGTGATGTGGAATTGGGTTAACAGGCAAAGATATATGGGAAAAGAGGAAAACCCCTTACAAAATACCCGAAAACAGTGAAGAAAGCCACTGTTGATTTAGCTAAAGAAAACCCTTTGGCTGTGCTGGATAAGGGTAAGTCATACGCCTGTATTCTAAAAGCTCACTCACACTCACACCGAATGAGTGGAGGTTCAATCTGAGCTTCTCTTGAGTGTTAATGCTGTTTTTGGAATAGCTGGAGGGCTAGTTTCATACCTTACTTGGTGACTACTCACCCTCCGGCAATTCAAAAACAGCATTAACACTCAAAAGAAGCTCAGATTGAACCTCCTTTAGTATTTTTGGACACGTTTTTTGTTTTTCTAGTCTGAATTCACTTTAACTTCGCTTATTTCTTTATCACTAATTTCAACAAAATGGCTATCCACCATTTTGAAAATTCCAATTTTGTTATATTCACCTGTAGGTGAAAAGGCGCTTGACCAGTTGCGCAAAGGAAATTGTAACAAAGAAATGGCAACATACTGGAAGAGTTTGAGCAGAAACCTAGAGGACACTGATGATGCGGAACATCTGTTACATATTTATTTTACAAAGTTGCCAGCTGAGATGCATAACCTCAATGTTCTGTCGACATTTCCTGGAATGCTTTTGACATTTGAAAGCAGAGATAGTGGCCATTCCCAGTTATTGGACTGTCCGTCACAGAAAACTTTGACACTCAAGCCAGGATGCAAAATAATGCTTCTCAATAAATAACTGAAAAATGATTACCAGGGAACTTTTCTTAGTGTAGATGCTGAAAATGACGTTTCCAAATGTAGGAACAGTGAAAGTCGGGTGCAAGATTCTTGTAGTATGACACTCGAAGTTGTGTATTGGCTACTCAAACAGTTTCCCATCACGCCTTGTTATGCTATGGTGCACAAAGTGCAGGGACTAACGTTGAATAGAGTTATTGTCCACTGTTCTCAAGACTTTGTCCCCAAACCTATATTGCATTGTCAAGGGTGAGAAACGAAGCAGGTCTTCAAGTAATTCATTTCCAGCCACGATTCCTGCTCCCTTTGCCAGAAAAACTAACGACTGGGAACATTACAAATGACAGTTGTGACAAGCTCTTTGAAGGCCAAGTAGATGGATTTCAATGTTGGTGCAGGGTCTTTGCATTGCAAGCATATTTGTCGGAAAACAGAGAAAAGGTTCATACGACAAACACCAACTTCACCTACGTTGCACCAGCTTTTTCTTTCGAATTAATGTCAAAATGATGTTATAAGTGCCTTTTTGGGAAGTTTGTGGTCAGAATTAAATAATGGGCAAAGGACACTGGGCATGCAGTTGGCTTTCCACCTCTTTCAATTATTTGCCAATGAGCTGAGCAGCTTGGTACGGAAGAAAGAAGCTGGTCCAATTCTGTTTAATGTAAGGAATATGGGTCCTGATGGAAGAGGGAAGATACAATATATTGGTGGTAATGTGCTGTACGAAAAGCACCTCAAAAATCATGAAGGTATGTATTTTCAATGTTAAATGTCCCGTTTACATGAGAACGAGAAGAGGATGTTTACATGAGACTGGTATGAAAAACGCAAAAGTTTCAATTGAGACTTGAGACCAGTCAGAGTTATTTTCGTCCTGGTCTCATGCATGTTAACATCTATTGTAAATAATACTATGAACGAAACGTTCCTGGTTTGACTTTGTTCCAGTCTCATGCAAACAGGGCCTAATTTATCACCAATTTGTTGAAATATAATGTTTATTCATCATCTCACCTGAAATCTACTATATTTTATCAGGTACCTGCTTGAAAACAAAGTATCACAAACACCGCAAGTGAGAAGAAAGCTAAAGGAAGAACTTGAAAAGATTGAATTGTTTCAAGAAAATATCATTGTTCCTTATGAAACGGTGATTGCTAGATAGTATACTTCAAAATAAGGTTTCCATTTTTATAACGTAGAAAAAACTATCCTACGGCAAAACTAAACCCTAAACCTAACCCTGAACCTAACCCTAACCAAATCGAGGGGGAAAATCATCTTTGAAAATCTGAAAAATTGCGTAACGTCAGTTTGGTAGATGGAAACAAGTGAAAACCTTATGATCTAGCTCTATGGTCTCACATCCAAGATGGCGGATGCTGAACAGAATTTCTGCGATTTTTCGCAAAATTCTGCCTTTAAATGCGGTTCCCATCCCGCATACAGAGATGAAAAAGACTATATTAGATTACGGAAATGCAACAAAGAGATAAAACAGCATTTGTATAGTGTGCAAGTGTCACAGACTGCACTAAAAACTGAGATGGAACTTATTGCCTACAGATGTGGATATTTTGATGTGGAATCTCCTGTGCTACAGAATAAAATTATCTGTTCTATGCGCAGATATAAACTCTGTCTTAAATGGAACAGACCTAGAGGGTGTTGTCACCCTCTCCATGGCCGATCACAGGGTCGTGCTTATCGTGGTATTGGTCCGGAGATGAGTAAAGACATTATGATGAAGTGGAATACTTTTGTAGCAATAGGATCAGGTAAGAAATAAGTAATGAGTGCTGTGATAGTAAAATAAATATTGACTGAAATTATGTTTATTTTAATGTTTTTTTAAAGGTTTACACTGTACATCCATACAATATGCACCCCTTGACCTATTAGCTATCAATGAAAATAACAGCTTACATAATCTGGGGATGTTAAAATAAATTTTACAGTAGAGAGGCTTGACTGTTGATGTCATATCTGCAATTACTACACTTAACAACAATTATGACAAAAATTTTATGACACAGTTAAAAATAGGTCATTCATAAAATCAATTCTCATGGGTGATGCTTATGTTATTGTACCATATTCATTTCCACTCTTTTTTTTCCTCACAGGTATTTGCAGAGGTTGTGAGAGTACCCACCGGGCAGAAATGAAGAAGATGACTGCTCTAACTCCATCCCATACTTCCACAATGTCATCCTCAAGCACGACCATGTCTGAGGTAAGAAATTTGTGTGATCATGCCCATGAATCTGGATATCAAATGTTCTATCATTATATCATAATATGAAGGAAGTTTAACCTTGGAAACCAAACCCGGTACCTACATTGGGTTTTATTTTTTTACTATGTTGAATGGCATGATGAACCATCTGCTTTCCAGTCACATGCCACTGACCAGTGCAAGAGGCATAAAATTCAACATCAGTAAAATTTGATGGAGACTATTCTACATCTAATGAATTTGTGAATACACACTTCCGACTCAATCCAGAACAGGCCCATTTCATGTCTATGCACATGTGCAGCACGAAATCCATGCCTTAAACCTAATCTCAAGCCCTTATTTTTTTGCTGGGAGAGATGAAAAGATACAGTACTGAACAAAATGATATGTTCTGTTTTTTCACAGGCTGAACAACCAAGCATAAGAAAACGGACTGTAGCATTGCCTGCCGCTAGTGCGTCTACATCTCCTCCTGAGAGTGGGTCTGATGAACCGCCCGAAAATGATCCAAGTGTGATTACGACGGGAAAGGAAGATAGTGACACTGATACATTCACACTGACACTACCAGAGGTAAGGATTCATAGCTACAGTACCTAACGTGAGGAACAAAAAAATCAAAAATCGTCACGATGCATTGCCTTGTTTGAACCAAAAATTTGATTTAATAGGAGTTTTATACTACCTTGAACTAGTATAGTTATCAAGAAGAGCTAACCAGACCCCTATAGTTATCAAGAAGAGCTAACCAGACACAATATATAATAATTTGATTTTAGTAGAAAAACCCTGCCCAGAAATACTGATTTGTTATTATTTACTCTCCTTTCCGAGTTCTGACTGTGGTGGATCCACCCCCGAAGCAGGGTTTGATGAATCGTACGTACCTACTCCTGCCGCCCCGAGGAACATTCCTCTACAAGCCCTGAATACTTTCCTTGACAGTGGAAATGTCGCTCCAATCAAGGGTCAGCTAATGACATCAGCCAGGCAGTGTCACCAAGCTACACGACGGTATTATAAGAGAAAAACCAAAGAAACTTTTGATTTGGTGCTTCATACCATTGCACCGGGGCACGAGAGCGAGTTGATGGAGCTCTCAATTCAACAAGCTGATGAGACCAGTGATTCGGACTCTGACTTGGAAAAGAAACTGGTGAATTGCTATGAAAATGCTGAATCCTCCAACACACGGCTCCAAATTCTATCCATATTGTGTAGAGGACGCACAAAACAGCAGCTACAGGTAATTCTGTGTTTCAGATATTAGCGAGATATTCAGCACTGCAGCATAAAAGTGATTTTTGTGTAACGTTTGTCAATCTTTGTCATTGAGACCTGGTGCTATATTGTTGGTTTCATCACTTTTTTCAGGCTCTTATCCCTGGGCTAACTGTATACAGAATTGACAAAGCCAGAAAACATGAAGTGACTATCGGGGCTGCATTACCACCAGAAATTGTAGAAATACGGAGGAATCGCATGGAAGAAGAAAAAATAGATCACTTTCTGGACTTTGTATCTAGACCAGAGTTTATTCAGGATGTAGCTTATGGGACCAGAAATATCAAGTTAAGCTACGGTGAAAAACTGGAAATTCCCAATGTTATCCGTACTGTTGTAGTGTCTAGGATCATTGAACTCTACATAGCCTACTGTGATGAAACCGGCTTTAAACCACTTGGTAGATCCTCGTTATACTCAATTATCCAGGTAAATTGAAATTTTGTGTGTAAAACTCACCTAAGTAAATATGAGTAAAATAAGTAACATTCAGTGTACTGTTTCAACGCCGTTCACCTAGATTTCTAGTAAACTGAGTGTACTGTACAGTCGAGTCACTGTTCTCCTAAATCGACTTACCTGACCGTCCATTCCATTACTCTGCCAGTCATGTTCGTCCATGTTCACCAATAATATAATCAGACATTTAGTCGTATATAGTATTCATTTCATTACTCTGTCTTCTTTTTCAACTATTGAATGATTGAAGGGTTTGTTGTTCTTCAACAGGTATGCGCCGCCTCACAGCAAAAATCTGTTGCCGGCCTTGATAATATTGCCGCTGAAGCATCAGAAGCGTTCAGCAACTTACTATCCATGGTGGAATCATTTGGAGAGCTAGGTAAGTTGCAGATGTAATAGGTCATCTCATGTTATGTAATCAAAATCCTGTAGGTACACAAACTAATGCTTTTAGGACTCTATCGCTTTTCGTCCAGTGTTGGGTTGGGGGAGAATTTTATCTACGCACACTTCAGGTATCAGTCAATTTTGTAAAATGATCACTGTACGATCATTGAATCGGTAACGCCGTGTTACTGATCCCACCTGTTCTCTGATCCTCCAAAATCATCAAATTCGGACAACATCTGTGGCCAGACGCGAATGGGATATCATCCGAAAATTTTTCTCTAGTAAAGTACTTGTTCTCATCTTTCAATCAAATATCATTTTGAAATAATGCCAGTCTCAAAAGACAGCTAATAGAGGTAAGAATCAAGCAAGGTATGTTAGATTTTCGGTAACGCCACATTCTCCAGTCTCGGGCGTTACCGATTCCTGGAAGTGGCGTTACCGAAAATCTTGTGTACCTTGCTTCATTCTTACATCTTTTTGCTGCCCTGAAAGACCGACATTGTCTGAAAAAGATATTTGATTGAAAGATGAAAACTTTACTAGAGTACTTTACTGGAGAGAAATTTTCAGATGAAATCCCATTTGCGTATGGCCACAGCCGTTGTCCGACGTTGACGATTTTGGAGGATCAGAGAACAGGTGGGATCAGTAACACCGGAATCGGTAACATGGCGTTACCGATTCAATGGTCGTACAGTGAAATGATGTGGCTCTCGATGACAACAATCTCCCTTCATCAATGCTCATTCATATTCATATGTTTTCAGGTGCGAGTCATGCCCTCACTGATGACCTGAAGCTCAAATTAACCTCAGCCAACAAATACATGAAAACAGACTTCAGGTTAAATTTGGAAGTGACGAGCAGCTGCATCAATCACTGTATCACATACGCTCTGAGTGATGGCACGTTATGTGACCATGAGCATGAGTTATCCTGCCAGCGGTGTGTGGGAGTGGAAAGTGTTTTAGACCACATAGAAAAATTGGTCCAATCAGACACACTGAAGTACAGGTGAGAATGAAAAAACAAGCCACTTTTCCATTAATACAAGTCCTCTTTCATTAGTCATTTTGTTTCCAGACGTGAATTTCTTGTTCAATGTATCTTCAATGATTTTCATTCATTCGTAAATAATAATGCAAAAAATGTAGCTACAAAAGTGTGAGTCGTTATTTTCAATTATATATTTCTTGACTGATTATGTCTTCTCAATTTTACAGCTATCCCCAACAGCGCGAAGAAGTCATACATGATGTCGTTGTTGCCAGAACAAAAATCAGCCAGCTGCGATCCCACCTCGTACGAGCTAAAAATCAGGAGCGGTCTAAGACAGATATCATTGACATCAGCTGAAATCAGACGAGGCCCATGTAACTATGGACTGGGCGATGAAGTTCCTACCAACAAAATTCTGTGAGTCCCAACAGGAATGGTATGGGAAGAAGGGGATCTCATGGCACATCACAGCTGCCATCACCAAAGCAGCAAATGAGGAATTGCGGGTATGTTGAATGTAACTCCTGAGAGAGGTTTCGCAGTCATACGAAATTCTTATTGATTTGCAATTATGATAAGTGATGCTGGTTTAGCTCATCAGGATCTTCATATTCTTACTGGTATCTATGCAACTTTGTGTTCTTGTTTCGTCTCTTGTGAGTGTGATACCTCTATTAGATACCATTATGCAATCATAAAATCAGTTGAATCACATGTGACCAGCTCCAGCTCCATTTTACAAGCGGCTATGATTTTTACCGTCATTTCTGAAAAAACGACTCGATGCCGCTCATTTTGGCTTCTTCTTCTCGTTTCAGATCCATTGTTTTGTTCACCTGATAGAACAGTGCAGTCAGAACTGGTACGCAGTCCTCACGGTACTGGAGCAGTCTTTATTAGAGCTCAAATGGCGCATTATTGTGATCGCTACAGTTTATCTAAGATCCGACAACGCCGGCTGCTACCACTGTGCACCATTATTGTTGTCGTTGCCGTCTTTAGGAAAAAGAGTCGGCGTGAATATTAGTAGGTATGACTTTTCTGAAGCTCAATCGGGAAAGGACCTTTGCGATAGGAAGATCGCACCAATGAAAAGTCATCTGCATCGGTATATAAACCAGGGACATGATGTAGTATCTGCTCAACAGATGTGGGAGGGTCTGAATTCAGGTGGTGGTGTGCGCGGCTGTTATGCTGCCGTATTACATCTTGATGAAGACTCAATGGTTGATCGGATAAAATGGGCAGGTATCACCAAGTACAACGATTTTGCCTTCGAAAGAGACAGTCTGACAGTTTGGAACTGTTACAAAATTGGTGATGGCAAAAAATTCCTTTACAAGAACTTGGTCAAAGATTGTACTGAGCTTCAAGGCGATACGAATGCACAAGTCGGGAATTACTCTACTCCCAAATCAAGCACAGGACTCGTGGCTTCAAAAACTGACCAATCTGTTGAGATTAGTTGCATTGAGTCTGCCTGTATCAAGACTTTCAAAACCCAGGATGAGCTCACACACCATATTTCACATGGAAAACATGTTTACCGCCCCGAAAAGGAAACTGTGCTTGACAAAGTGAAAAGAAAATGGGTATCAAAATTTACCGAAGCTAGGGAGGATAGTGCTCTCTCAGTGCCAGGTACAGCTACTGCGTCACTCGTCAGTACGAGTGAGGGCACAGACATAGAACTGAATGCAGGGTGGGCCATCAAAGAGGCAAGAGCCCATAAAAGATTTAGCGATGAGGTGAAAGATTTTCTTTTAGAGTGCTTTATGAAAGGGGTGCAAACAGGAAAGAAGGAGAATCCAAACAACGTTTGTAAGGTGATGAAGAAAAGGTTTGAGAAAGAAGATTGGTTAACGAGCAAGCAGATCGCAAGTTACTTTTCCAGATTAGCTGCAATGCAGAAATCTGGAAAACCGCTTCTGAGAGCTACAACACCTGAATCTGAAAATGTTGACATTGATGAGGAAGTTGCCATAGAGGTAACTAACAGGAGAAAATTACGATCCCGGATTATGAAGGAATGCGTGCTCTGA